GCTAGGAATTGGGAGTGAGAGCTGCAAGACTCTCGGAGGCAGGAGGTGGTGGAGGCAGGACACTTGATTTCTTTTTAAGCAATTATCCAGAACAAAGATATACCTGATTTTTATTTTTTAAAGGATGTGGTCACTTTTTTAAAGATTTTATTTATTTATTTATTTATTTGAGAGAGAGAGAGAGGGTGCGCACGAGAGTGGGGTAAAGGGCAGAGGGAGAAGCAGAGTCCCCGCTGAGCAGGGAGCCCGATACGGGGCTTGATCCAGGAACTCCAGGATCCTGACCTAAGCTGAAGGCAGAAGTTTAACTGGATGAGCTACCCAGGTGCCCCTATAATGTCTAGTTTTTAAAAAGAACTCTAGGAGATTTCACACCTAGCCCTTAACTTCTCTTAGTGATGAAACCTTTAGACCAGAAGCCGGAAGAGTGTCTCTATTTCCAATGCTGTTAGCAGTTCTATTCAAAGACAGGCTCTAAACCTCCTAAATTTATCTGTACCTCTGGAAAATTGTAAGTATGAAGTTTTCTTTTCTATAATATTAAAGAATTGTACATAAATTCTAAAATAAATGCACAGACTATTACCTCACTTTTCTGGAGGAAAAGCTTTCAGCATCTTCAGCTCTTTGGCACATGGCCATGACCCTAAGCTAACAAATAGGAAGAACAATTAATCAACTATAAGCAGAAAAAAAAAAAAAAAGAAAGAAAGAAAGAAAGAAATTCCTGAACAGCTGAGCAGCCACCAGCTCTACGCACTCCTTATGCTCCTCTCTGAGTCACACAGCAGAATGATTGAAAATATTTGTGACACAAAGACAGCCCTATCACGCAAATGCTACTGCCGGGCAGAAACACAGGAAGGCGTCTCTGGTCAGTCAGCAAGAACTCGTGTCTGCGGCAGAGAGAGGATACTGAAAATAAGCCTGAGACTCCGTCTTTGCCCTCAAGTAGTTTACATTCTTAGACTGCTCCGTATAAAATCACCATTTTATAGGTCGTATTTTTTTTATGTTCAGTCTAGTTGGATAAGCAAAACAATCACATGTTAAACAATACTAAAGAGTAAAAACAGCATCAAGTTCTGTGTTAAATTATATGATATAAAGTAAATCATACGAAACACAAGAGATCTGTAACAGCTGAAGTAGCCAACGACGGCTTTCCAGATCAAGCTGACTAGATCTGAGCCACGAAGCCTTGGTGAAATTTAAATGAAACCTGAGATAGAGGAAATGACATGACTGGAGGCACAGGAGAAAGAGGAAGCATATTCTATACAGGGAAAATTTTTCTCGCAATGGAAGATACATAGTAAGAAATGGAAAATAAGCTTGGATAAGTAGTATAGAATCAGCTTACGGAGACACTTGCACACCAAGCAAAAATGGAAGCTCAGGTCTTGTCCAGTCCCCTCGTACACTGAGTACCTAGGACATAGTCACTCAATAGCATTTTATGAAATGAATGAGTGAAGCGTTCTTACTAATAACAAAATAAGAATTCCCCAAGATTCGAAAAAAGAGATGATACTTGATAAAAATGATATCCAAAGCTTATTAGTGTATATGCTGGATGGGCCAAAGGGAAAAGACTGGCATCCAAAAATAAAACTAGAAGATGATTTCATTAATCTAGAGAGGAGTGATAATAGCTGGGGCAAGATAGGAAGAAAAGACTTGCACCAGAGATATTCAAAAGAGAACCAGCGTGAACCTTGAAAACATTATGCTGAGTGAAAGAAGCCAGTCACAAACAAACCATATATTGTATGAGTCTATTTATATGAAATATCCAGAAGAGGTAAATCTATAGAGACAAAAAAAAAAAAAAAAAAAAAAAGATTACTGGTTCCCTAGGGCTTGGGGGAAGGGGGACAGGTTACAGGGGAAGAGGGAGTAACTGCTAATAGGTACAGGGTTTTTTGCAAGTGTTGATGAAATGTTCTAAAATTGACCGTGATGATGGTACACTACTCTGTGAGTATACTAAAAACCATTTAATTGTAGACTTTACATAGGTGAATTACATGGCACATGAATTATATCTCAAAGATGTTATTAAAAAGGAGAGGGAATTAATAAATATGGTGAATGACAATATATATGTGTTTGATGGAGAAAAATGAACCATTCACTGTAGACTACGTAATTTCCAGTTTGAGTCTCATGGAAATAGTAAGAATATCCACTAACACTATTATTACGTAAAATTATTTTAGGATCACTGGATGATGAAAAAAGCCATGGAAAAAAAGTAAGAGATATAATATTAGAAAGGAAGGGACCAAGTTATTACATTCAGAAAACCCAAAAGAGTCACCTAAAAATAATTTGCATTCATGAAAATTCAGTAATATATATAAGATATACACAAATGTCAATATATTGTAAATATCAACAATAGCTAATAAGAAAAAATGTTAGATAAAAGTTTAACCTTGAAATAACCTAAATAATAGTGTGAGTGGCTTATATGAGGGGAAAAAAACAAAATTTTATTAAGCAATAACAAATGAAGATTTAATAAAATGGAGATATAGGTGAGGTTCTTTGATAGGGAGAATAAATATTATAAAGATACCAGTCCCCAAATTAATTTTTTTAAAGATTTTTTCTATTTATTTGAGAGAGACCAGAGCTTGATCTCAGAACCCCAGGCAGATGCTTAAGCAACTGAGCCACCCAGATTAATTTTTTAAAGCTTACTAAAGTCTCCAGGTAGAATAAATTTACATTTCTGTCAGTATAAATTTGGTGAGATATTTCAAAAGCCTTCAAATTGTTCATGGCCTTTATCTCAAAAGAAGTTCTCTAATAGAGAAAAAAAAAATTATGGGATGCCCGGGTGGCTCAGTCGGTTAAGCATCTGACTTCAGCTCAGGTCATGATCTCAGGGTCCTGGGATCGAGTCCCACATTGGGTTTCACACTCAGTGGGGAGTCTGTTTCTCCCTCTCACTCAACCCTCCTCTCTCTCTGTCTCTCTCTCAAATAAATAAAATCTTTAAAGAAGAAAAAACCTTTGTGCATAAGATGACCAGTCTTCTCCTTTAGATCCTAGATGATAACTTTCATGCCTTCCTCCACGTCTTCCCTTTACACCCTCAGTTCCTCCAAACAACTGTTACTCACCTGGTTTCCGGACTGTTCTATATCCTGATGTTTTCCTCTAAATGGACTGTATTTTGTTAGTGCATCTCAGCATGTGTCATTAACATTGGTTGTTTAGGAAAGAGTAACACAAGTAAAACCAAACCCAGCTGCACTATTGTTACCGCAATTTAGAAATAACCCTATGACACACTGGAAAGTGTTTACCGGGGGTTGGTATAAGATTTGGTAGTGGTTATTTCTTAGAAAGTGTGTATCATGTGGTGGTATTAGGAGTCCATGTTACTGGGATTTATTGAAGTTAATTGTTCTTAAGAAAAGATAAATAAAAGCAGGTCAACCTATGGCTTCCTGAAGGAAGTGCAGAGGAGATGAAATGAAAGAATGGTGAAAAATGCACTTGCTTGATTCAAAAAACAGCCAGCATACTTTCCACCCCCTTTATTAAGAAAAAAAAAATCCAATCTTATAAAGCAGTGAACCTTATTTTTCTGCATCTTAATACAAAAATGTTTGAAAAAAACCAACTTTTAAAATGCAAAAAAGCTATATACATACACATACATAGAGTGAAAGACTTGGTTTTCCAACTGTTCCCTTCCTTAGAGTTAACTGCTGTTACATTCATTTTTAAAACATCGTAAGATTATTCCATGATGTTTAAAAACCACTTTGAGTTTTTTGTCTCCAGTATTATGTATAGCTTCATTTTTTGCAAAATACATTATTACATTCCTTATAGTCTTTTTATCGGCTACTGCTAGTTATTCACCTTGACATCGTAATTTCTCTTTAAGTGTGATTTACTACATTTCTCTCAGATGTTATTTTTATGTAAAGTTGTCATTTTAATTCTGTATTTATTTGAAAGTATCCAGCTATATTACCAGTTATGTCCAGCTATTTCCAAATTAATCTTCATTGTTTTATACCAAAATCGGCATGTATACGTGTATGCATGAATGAGAGAGAAGGCAGATTTTTTCTCTTGTTAGTATTGAACTGCTGAAGACTTGGAGGCCTACTCAGTATTAGTTAAGTGAGGCGGGATCTGACTAGCCATTGGTTCCATCATGGTAATGGTGGGAGGCAGGCAGACGCCAAACAGCAGGACCTAGAAGCGACAACGGCGGACTTTAGAGCCTGTGCCTTAGTAGGAGCAAGCAGCCCCTAGTCACAGCCAGGATCCTCAGCATACAGGAATTCAGGCCTACTTTCGTCAAATCTAATGATTTTTCAGAAGAAGCCAAAATTCTAAATGTTTCTGTAAAATCTCCCAATTATCAAATTGGCTCATTTTCTAAAACACTGAGAGATTTAAAACAAACAGACAAACAAAAAACCTTAGGCTCAATGTGGCTCTCAGACTGTCAGATCGCAGCCTCTTTATTTTCACATACTTAGCAGCAAAGGAAACCTATTTTTCCACATTTGTTACATGTTTTAGGGGAGATGGTAAAAAAGCTGTACTGTTAACTCATCAGAAGATAGATATTATTGAATTTACAAAATAAAATTCTACATTAATATTTACCTTGTCTGTTTTCTACTTGGGGAAATCCACCACATCCCACTTATACCTCACCATAACGGTAAGTTGGGTTATAAAGTAGCGTTCCCCATTTGTCTGTCCTCAGTTCCCTGTATCACACTATAGAGAAAGAGGAATACAGAAGTTTCAACATCTTCATTTTCCAACCTCCAGTGGTTTAAACCAGACAGTTCTTTTGGAGTGAAAGTACTATGTCTTTTCTTTCTCACAGTTGCTGAGAAATTATAATTAGAGGTTTTCCTGTTGTGTAAAGGAAAGGAATTCCAGTCCTCCTGTGTCTACAAGACTTCGGTTCTCAATGGATTTGCTTCCCTGTCCCATTTCTCTTTCTGCAGGTGATAGAGGGGAAGCTGGCTCCATTCTTGGGCAAGGTCATTAAATTTGCCACCTCACACGTGTACAGCTGCAGTCTTTGTAGCCAGAAGGGGTTCATCTGTGAAATCTGTAACAATGGAGAGATCCTCTACCCTTTTGAAGATATTTCAACAAGCAGGTACAGAATCTCTTGTCTTACAAAAGTACACCTGAATGTGTCACATGCTGTTTTACTTGGTCAGATCAGAACAACGTTCAGTCAAGTACTGTATCTCTGTCTCTTACCTTGTAGCCGATTTCCCTTATTCTTGGAGAACATTTTTTACCCTTTGGTTTCCTATGTTTGTTTGTTCCCTGCTCACCTCGCTATCTTTATCCAGAATGAGAGAAGAGTTACAAAGAAACGTCACCTATCTCTGCCTTCTTAGGTAAGGAAGCGTGTTCAGGTTCATTTCTAGAATGAAGATCAGGGAGGAAGAATCCTCACAGCACTTCAGGGCTAAGTGATAGGCCATGGGAAATCACAGTCTTAGAGTCAGGCTAAAACTGGACCGACCGCCAGGAATAAAACTACAAGACACTGGGGAACAGCTGTCTGGCTCACCACATGCTTTTCTCCACAGATGCGCTGCAGTGTGGTGATGAAAGTTTTAGGATCCAAAGGAGAGAGAAGTGGGAGTTTGTGTGGGATTGTTTTTCTAACCAAAGTAATATTTGGGCATCATCACATTCCTTGATTGATGGATGATCTTCTTCCCCCATTAACTTGAGAGTGGGGTTTTTTACTGTTGCTTTTCTTGAATCACAAAATGATACATATCATTTTTCCCTTCATTCCAAAAGCATCCTAGAAATACATACTGTTTAGGTGTCTGTGCACTGGCTTCTTTGGCCATGAAGTCATGCCTCATTTCCCACCCAGCAGGGCTCACTGACACTGTGGTTCGGAACAGAAGGGAAGGCACACAGCCAGGGCGGGCTGAAGCATGTAGGGTAAAGAGGAGATATTAAGAGTTGACTCAGCCCTTCTGGCCTCTTCGTAAACCCAAAGACTCTTTGTGAACATACAGGAACTTGGGTTGGCCCCACACACAGAAAGACACACACACACACACTCCAACCTCATTTCCTGAATACAGGTCCCCAACTCATAGCCTCGAGATTATAAACGTCTTTAAAATGTACACCACCCAAAAACTTGTACACAGATGTTCAGAGAAGTATTTATAATAGCCAAAAAGTGGAAACCACATAAATGTCCATTAACTGATGAATGGATAAACAAGATGTGATATATCCATACAACGGAATACAGTTCAGCCCGAAAAGGAACCTGACTGACACATGCCCCCAGTGTAGGTGAACCTCAAAACCATTACGCCAGGTGAAAGAAGCTAGACACAAAGGGCCACATATTTCATATTCTGTGTATATGAAATGTCCCAAATAGCCAAGTCCATAGGGACAGAAAGTAGATGAGTAGTTGCCAGGGACATCAGGGAAAGGAGAGAGAGTAACTCTGTACCTAATGGGTACAGATTTGTTTTAGGAGGGACAAAAATGTTCCGGAATTACTGTGGTGATGGTTACAAGGTCTTTTGAATATGTTAAAAATCAGTGAATTGTATACTTTAAAAGAGTGAATTTTATGGTCTATATATATGGTATATATATATTGCAATCAGTGTTTAATAAAAAAAAAATTAAATTAAAAAATGCTTCCAACTGTATAAACCATATGCTAGGTCACAAAACAAGTTTCAATTTTTTTTTGAAGATTTTATTTATTTATTTGAGAGCAAGAGAGAGAGCAAGCAATCACAAGCATGGGGGAGGGGCAGAGGGAGAAACAAACTTCCCACTAAGCAAGGAACCCAATTTGGGAACTGATCCCAGGACCCTGCGATCATGACCAGAACCGAAGGCAGACACAACCAACTGAGCCATCCAGGTGCCCCACAACTTTCAATAAATTTTTTAAAGATTGAAACCATACCAAGTATATTCTCTGATACATTGAATTCAGATCTTCAATAGAAAAAAGTCTGAGAAACCCTGAGAAATATTTGGAAATTAAACAATACACCCTAAAAACTTATATGTCAGAGAAAAAATAAATTAGAGAAATATGAAATATTTTAAAATGAATGAAAATGAAATATAAAAGGTCAAAATGTATGGAATGCAGCTAACATAGTACTTAGAGTGAAAGCTTATAGCTATAAACATATCATGAAAAACATGTCAGGAAAAAAAAGAAAAAAGGTCTCAAATCCATTACCAAAAAAATCCACTTTAAGAGTCTAGATAACAAAGAGCAAACTAAATCCAAAGCAAGCAGAGGAAAGGAAAGACTAAAGATTAGAGCAGATATCAATGAGATGAAAGATAGAAAAAGAGTACATCAATGAAACCACAAGTTGGCCTTTGAAAGAATCAACAAAATTGATAGCTCTTTTGCTAGGACCAAGAAATTAAGAGAAAAGACACAACTACTCAAAATCAGGAAGGAAAATTATATAATTATAATTATATAAGATTATATTATATAAGATTATATTTTATATTATATACATTATATAAGATTATAAAGAGATAGCATAAATGACTTTATTCCAACAAATTAGACAACTTAGATGAAATGGGTAAATTTCTAGAAAGACAAATTACCAAAATAGACTCAGAAGAAATAGAAATATGAATAGCCCTATAACAAGTAAAAACTGAATTAGTCATTTTTAAATCCTCCCATAAAGAAACAAGATGGCCTCACGGATTAATTTTGTTGAATATTTAAAGAAATAATACCAATCCTTCACAAAGGGATAAAGAGAGGCATTACCTAATGATAACGAGGTCCGTTTTCCAAGAAGACACAATAGTCAACGTGCACGAGCAGAGTCAAGATACATGCGGCAAAAGGACCAATAGAACTACGAGGAGAAACAGACAAACCCACAACTATACATACATCTCCACTATTAGTGAGACTTCGACACCCGTCTGTCCGTAACTGACAGATCCAGCAGCAGAAAATCGGTTTAAGCTTATCATTAAACTGAAAGGCACTAGCAATCAACTGGCTCTGACTGACTTCTTTGCCAATTCGTGTTGTTCATCCAACAACAGCAGAATATGCATTCTTCTCGAGCTCACACGAACATTTAACAAGATGTTCTGGGCCATAAAATACATCTGAACAAATTTACAAAAATAGATATCATGCAAAGTATGCTCTCAGACCATAATGTAATTAAACTAGAAATCAGTAACAGAACAATACCTACAAAATTCCAGCGTATTTGGGGGTTAACAGTATATCTCTAAATAACACATGAATTGATCATTTATGTCCACACAGAACCCTGCACACAGATGTCTATAGTGGGTCTACTCATAATCGCCAAAAACTGGGAACAACCAAAATGTCTTTCATGCGTGGATGGATAAATAAACTTTGGTATATCCATGCAATGGAATATTATCCAGCGATTAAAGAAATGAACTGTCAAGCCACAAAAGGACACAGAGGAAACTGAAATGCATATTACAGAGCGAAAGAAGCCAGTCTGAAAAGGCTACCTACTGTATGAATCCAACCATATGACATTCTGAAAGGGGCAAAACCGTAGACAGTAAAAAATAAAATAAAATCAGTGATTACCAGGGGCTCCAGAGTACATAAGGAAAGATGAATAGGTAAAGCACAGGAATATTTTAGGGCAGTGAAGTTATTCTTCCCATTACACATTTGTCAAAACCCATAGAACTGTACAACACAGAGTGAACCTTAGACGTGGACTTCAGTTGATAATAATGTATCAGTATTAGTTCATTAATCATAACCAATTTACCACACTAATGCAAGTTTTTGATAGTAGAGAAAACTAGGGGTGAGGGTAGTAATATGGAGACTCTGTACTATTCTACTCGTTTTTGTCAATCTAAAACTGTGCTAAAAAATAAAGTCTATTAAAAAACCCACAATGCATTCAACTGAACAGTTGACTCAAATACCAAAGCTGATCAATGTTAGTAAACTTTATTAGAACAATTTTAGACTTACAGAAAAATCATAAAGATGGTAAAGAGAATTTCCATATACCCCACACCCAGTTTCCCCATTTACATCTTACATTAACATGGTATATTTGTCATAATTCATGAATCAATATTGATACATTATTATTAGCTAAAGTCCATAGCTTTTTCAGATTTCCTTAGTTTTTACCTAATTGGTTTTTTTCTGTTCCAGAATACCACATTATATGTAGTTGTGACATCTCCCTAGGCTCCTCTTAACTGTGACAATTTCTCACACTTTATTGTTAGGACATTGACAGTTTTGAGGAGGACTAGTCAAGCATTTTGTGGAATCCCTCTGTGGGGATGGACTTAATGTTTTTCTTATGAACAGACTGGGTTTTACGGGCTTGGGGAGGAAGACCACAGACGCAAAGTGCCGTTCTCATCACATCAGACCACGGGCACATACTGTCAGTGTGACTTACCACTGCAGTGTTTGTGTCCAGTGTCTCCACGGTAGGAACTCTTCCCCCCAACCTTTTCCATATTATCCAGCACTTAAAGAGTGAAGGTAATGCTTCAGTTCCCTCAGGAGTGGAGTTTATACAAAGTTATTTGGAATTCTGCCCGTGTGATTTGTCTCTTCTTCCCATTTATTTTTTCGAAGTATTTATTTGTACCAGCATGGACACATGCATATTTATTTTCCATTTTGGGTTATAATCCAAGATTACTTAATTTGTTTCTCAGACTATTCCAGCTTTGGCCATCCAGCTCTTATAGCTGGCTCCTGCATCACTTTGATATACTCAAATCATTGTGGGGTTTTTTATTTTGATCATTTCTGTACTTCTCGTGCTACCAGATGGCCCAGCCTCATCATATATATTTCTTGCCCTAATCCTAGAAGTAGCCATCTCACCAAGGAGCCCAGGTTCCTTTTATTGGAGAATATGAAACCAACATGAGTTGCTGGGTTGCACACACATTTTTCAAGGCCCTCGGTCCCAGGATTCATCCCATGACTAAGGGAGAGATGCTTCCCTCTGACTACATATCAGAATCTCCTGTGAGACTTATTGGATTTTTTTTTAATACTCTGAGAATCTGTCTTCAAAGGTGCCCGCATGTGATTCCCCATCACAGCCAGAA